TGATTTCTGAAGGATCATGTGACACTGAAGACTGGAGTAATGATGCTGAAAATTCAGCTTTGATCACAGCAATAAATATATATATATATATATAATACACTGCCGTTCAAAAGTTTGGGATCAGTAAGATTTTTAATGTTTTTTTAAAGAAGTTTCTTATGCTCATAAAGGCTGTATCTATTTGATCAAAAATACAAAAAAACTAATTTTGTGAAATATTATTGCAATTTTAAATAACAGATTTCTATTTTAATATATTTTAAAATATAATTTATTCCTGTGAAGCAAAGCTGAATTTTCAGCATCATTACTCCAGTCTTTAGTGTTACATGATCCTTCAGATTCAAATATGCTGATTTATAATCTATGTTGGAAACAGTTGTGCTGCTTAATATTTTTTGTGACCTGTGATACTTTTTTCAAGATTCGTTGATAAATACAAAAGTTAAAAAGAACAATGTTTATTCAGTGTTACAATATACACTACTAATCAAAACGTTGGGGTCAGTAAATTTTTCCTTTCTTTTTATAAAAAAAAGAAATTAATACTTTTATTCAGCAAGGGTTTATTAAATGGATAAAAAGTGATAGTAAAAACGTTTATTGTTAGAAAAGATTTCCATTTTGAATAAATGCTGTTCTTTTTAACTTTTTATTCATCAAAGAATCAAAGAAAAAAAATACCACAGGTTCCAAAAAAATATTAAGCAGCACAACAGTTTCCACACTGATAATAAATCAGCATATTAGTATGATTTCTGAAGGATCATGTGACACTGAAGACTGGAGTAATGATGCTGAAAATTCAGCTTTGATCACAGAAATAAATTTTATTTTAAAGTATATTAAAATAGGAAACCAATGTTAGAAATTGCAGTACTATTTCACAATATTACTGTTTTTTTCTGTATTTTCGATCAAATGAATACAGCCTTGATGAACATAAGAGACTTAAAAAATGTTGAACGGCAGTGTGTATGTGTGTATATATATATATATATATAATTTAAATTGTAATAATATTTCTCAATATTCCTGTTTTTACTGTATTTTGATCACATAAATGTAGCCTTGGTGAGCAGAAGAGACTTCTTTCAAAAACATTTGAAAAAAACGACCAACCCCATAGTGTATTTTTGTTAAAGCACATTTAATTTGTGCGTGATTATGTATAATAAGCTGCTCTCTGTCTCTGTCACGTCTCTTGTCCAGCTGGTACCGCCGTTCATGCCGCAGGTCTCGTCTGAGACGGACACCAGGTATTTCGACGAGGAGTTCACGGCGCAGACCATCACCATCACCCCTCCGGAGAAGTGTGAGTGCGCCGTTTCCCTCCCTCTCTCACTCTCTCTTTCTTGCTCTCTCTCTTCCTGTAGACTGGCTCCTCGTGCCACAGGAAGAGGAAGTTCCAGTCGGTACACAATGAAAACGCGCATGGAGCGTATCACTGTGAAAATCAGTACGCCGCTTATCGCTAGGAAATTCCGATAGAATGCGGAGCGCGGTAGAAAATTAAATCGTCCGTCTGTGCGTAACGTAACATTTCCCTCTCTCTTCCTCCCCCGCAGACGACGAGGACGGGATGGACTCGGCCGATAGCGAACGGAGACCACATTTCCCACAATTCTCGTATTCAGCCAGCGGGCGGGAGTGATGTCATCGAATAACGCCGTTTAAGGAGCCCCGCGTAGCCGTGCTAGAAACAGCCCCCCTCTCCATTTAATTACCGATAGTCATAGCGAGTCATTTTTGTTGCTTTCTGTTAGTTTTTTGTGGGACTTAAAAGGGGTTTTGCACAGTTGGGTGAGACTTGAGCTGGTCGACCCACATTAAAAAGTCTTGTTCACTTTCAGCTTGTTGTTTACAGATCATGGACAGTGGGTTTTTTTTGGGGGGGGGTTATGATCAGTATTGACCTGGAGCGTTTTTGTTTTGCACTCCTTTAAAAGAGCCGTTGTGGGGAACAAACCAAAAATGTTGCCTTATGTGTATGGATCTCATCAGACAGACAGACATGTAGTTAGACGCAGCAGTAGATCTGTTCCTGTGAGGCTCACGAATTTTAATTTGTTCTTGCATTTTTAGCACACACACACACACACACACACACATCCTCTGTCTGAGGCGTTGAAGAGTTTCGTTCCTTGTTCGTGCTTTCGGTAAATAATGAAAACGGAGAAAGTAGGGGAAATGGACTCTAGTGTTAATATTTGCGTTTCTCTTTTAGTTTTGTCCTCACGCTCTGATATGAAGGTTTCAGTTCAAATACACAACCATACAACAAACTGCCGTTACTGTAAAGGTCTCTCAGGCAATTCAGAGCACAAGTGTGAATCTCACGAAACCCGCCAAGAGCATGTCTGCGTCGTGTTTCACTGCGAATCCGTAAAGAAAAAAAACCCTCGTATTTTGCTTGAGGAAAATTTAGCATATTTTTAGTATCATTTAGATGTTTTGCACCGCAACATTTTCATCACCATAATGCAACAAAAATCTCATCACTGCAAATACAGAAATATCATGTAATAATAATTATATAAAATATTATTCACATGTTATCTAAATAAAATTATTTAAATAACATTCAAATGTTATTTAAAAAGAATAAAGATTTAGGTGTTTTGGTAACACTTTACAATATGGTTTTATTTGTTTACATTAATACACTACAGTAGTTAACATGAACTAAAGCCCCGTTCACACCAAGAACGATAACTATAAAGATAACGATATTAGCGTCCCCACCAGCGAACGATATCGTCTGTTTATTCTAAGCGCAGGTGCGTCTGCCTCTTTAAATCCTCGAGCTCATTATAGCAGGATGGATTCTGATTGGCTGTCAGTGTTTTATCGTTCATCAGCTAGAAAAAATCGTTCTGAAAGTGATTCCAACGATATCGTTTCTCTGTGCCTTTATCGTTATAGTTGTGGTGTGGACTCTGCTATTCTTTAATATTGAGAACGATTTTTAGAACGATATCTTTATCGTTATCTTTATAGTTATCGTACTTGGTGTGAACGGGCCTTTAACAAAGAATAACAGTTATACAGCATTTATTCATCTTAGTTCATCCTAATTTTAGCATTAACCAGTACATTTTTAATTCACAAATTATTTTTGTTAACATTAGTTAATGCACTGTGAACTAACAATTAATTGTTATTAACTGACAAAGATTTAAGTTAGTTGGTAAATTAACTAAAGTTAACAAATGAGACCTTATTGTTTTTAAGTGTTACCAGTATTTATATGCTGTTGGTATTTTTTATTCTGACTTCAAATTAAATCAAATAATAATAACAATTTTGTAAAAGTATTTTTATCATATATAGTGAAAAGTTCAAGTTCAAAAAATCTATAATTTCCATCCATAATTAAAAAAAATGTTTCTTGCAAAAATGGTAATTTAAAAAAAACTGCAAAGTAAAACCTTTGTATTAATTACAGTAGTAATTAATTACAACTTTTTTGTGCATTATGGTAATGAAAATTTATGACAATGTGCAAAAATCAAAATAGGCCTATTTTTTTAATCTAAATTCTAATTTCTTATTTTTATCTTTTTGGTGTGAAATACGACCTGCGCATGTTTTCGTGGGATTCACCCACAAATCTGCCCACCGACGTGGTGAAACCTGCCCGGATATGACTTCTTATGGCTTTGTCCTGAACCCCTTCCCTCTGACATGCTGAAGCGGCCCTTTCTAAAGCTCCTACGCTCTCCAGACCCGAGAAGCGTTCAGGACAGACGCGTGAAGGCTCATGCTGGGCGGCGCTCACCTTTACTGTACAGAGCTACAGGTGTGTGTCTCTCTCAGCAGCACAGAGAGAGACGATCAACCACTGACCCTCACTTCTCACCACACAGAGAGAAAACCTATTGTTGGACTGTTCCTGAAGATGTAAATACAAACCTCTCGCTCTCTTTACCCTCACTGTTACATTACCACTATTTTTGTTTTTGCGTAAAGAAGTTATGATCCTGTCTCCATAGCTGTGGAAATCTTATGATGTCTGCGTTTGGAATCAATACCAAGTCAGATCACAGACTCATTATATGTGCAACTGAGCCATGCAATAGCAGTGTGAATGACCCCTGACCTTTGACCCCCAGCCCTCCTGCATATGAATTGAAAAATGACAGAATCATTGGAGGAACGTGTATCATGTGGGTGTTTCCATAGAGACGACTTGCTGTGGTTTCAATCCCATCCTGTTTGTACCTGATCCAGTGAACGTTTTGGAAGCTGCCGGTATTCGTTGCGGTTCTTCATAGCGAATGATATGAGTGTGTGTGTGATTGTTCGTTAAACTTTCAGTTGTTATTTTCAAGCTGTGACGCATTCGGTCGGCTAATCCTCAACAGGTTTTCTAATATTGTTCTGATGAGTTTTTTTTTTTGGTTTGTTTCAGCGTATTTTTGTACTATAGATGTAATTTAGTTGTATTTATTTTCGTATGTTGGGATGAAGGACGCTGTCGGCCACGTTTATTAAGTGCTCTCTCTCCCTCGTTATTTTTTATACCTTTCCTTTAGTCGTTTGCCTGATTTGTTTTCATACCAAAACATTAGGGCAAGTGCCCTGTAGAGGACTTTCATTGCCATTTGGTAGTATTTATTTTAAGTTATATTAAAATGTTCAGATTTCTCAGTGGCTCCATGTGGTATTTTCTAGATTAAAGTTGTGATGTAATACTCTTCTTTTTTCTTTTTTTTTTAAATATCTGAATACTGTTTCCGTACTATATATATATATATATATATATATATATATATATACAGTATATATATATATATATATATATATATATATAGTACGGAAACAGTATTCAGATATT